AGGTTAAGTGTAGATGGACTTATTGTATATTTTCCATATGACTATATATACCCAGAGCAATATGCCTACATGATGGAGCTTAAAAGAGGCTTGGACGCTAAAGTAAGTGCTTTGTACAAAAATTAGTTACATTCTTTCCTATTCAAAAAGTAATTGCGATAGAAACTTCTTACAACAAATCTTTTACAGGGTCACTGCCTCTTGGAAATGCCTTCAGGAACCGGAAAGACAACTACGCTCCTTTCTCTCATTGTTGCATACATGATAGAGAATCCATTTTCAGTTGTAAAGTTAATTTATTGCTCTCGAACTGTACCTGAAATTGAAAAGGTCATGGAGGAAATGAAACGTCTTTTGTCATACATTGAAAAAGAGAGAGGTGTTCCCAATACCATGACTGGTGTTGTTCTGAGCTCAAGAAAAAATCTGTGCATTCACCCTCAGGTTTGTTTTATAGTAATTCCACAAGTATATAATGCACCCATTACTGCTAAGCTTGGCTTCTGGAAGTGGGTTGTGTCATATAATTAGTGACATGTATTGAAGGGGTCTCACAGTTTGTTTGGTTTTTTTTTTTCTGTGAATTTGGGATGTGTTCTATATTTTTGGTATTATGGTTTATCTACTGTTGTCCTCTTTTGCTTTTCTCGTGATTCCTTGCTGGTTCTTATATTGTCCATATTTTTTTTTCATCTGCTATTAGGTCAGCAAGGAAAGAGAAGGTAAAGTTGTGGATGGCCGTTGCCACTCTCTCACTGCTTCTTACATTCGAGAAAGACACAAGGCTGATGAAAGTGTGCCTGTCTGTACATTTTATGACAACTATGACATTGAAGGTCGGGAAGGAACTATTCCACCAGGGGTTTACAATCTTGATGACCTCAAAATGTATGGACAGAAGATGGGGTGGTGCCCCTACTTTATAGCAAGACAAACTGTAAGTTTTGTGTAGTAGTTTTATCAATAACCATTTTCAACTCAAACACTAAACAATTATGTCACCTTTAGATACTTCATGCCCAGATTGTGGTATACAGCTATCACTATCTACTTGACCCTAAAATTGCTGAAGTTGTTTCCAAAGAACTCTCAAGAAATGCTGTTGTAGTTTTTGATGAGGCTCACAACATAGGTAAGAAATGTTTTATCTCTCTTTTTTACTCTATGATTTAGAATATCAGAAAATCTAACCTAATATATTTTGATTCAGACAATGTGTGCATTGATTCTATGAGTGTAAAAATTACAAGGCGAATAATAGACAAATGCACGCAGAATTTACAGTTTCTTGAAACCGCAGTGAAAGAGTGGGTTGACATTTTTATTTAATTCATTATTTTGAATATTTGCATCCCCAACATGAAATGCAAAGCAATGAAGAATTATATTCTATCTTTCTTACAGAATGCGAGAAACTGATGAAGCAGGTCTACAAAATGAGTATGAAAGATTAGTTGAGGGTCTGAGACAGGCAAATGAAGAAAGAGAAAGTGATGTAATATTAGCAAATCCAGTCTTGCCTAATGAAATTTTGCAAGGTACTCATCAGCTTTGACAGTGTATGAAGCTATAAAATAACTTGTTGTTTCATGCAATTTTCCATTGTTTTGACATAGAGGCTGTACCAGGCAACATAAGAACTGCAGAACACTTTGTGAGCTTCCTTAAACGCTTTGTAGAATACCTTAAGACCAGATTGCGAGTTCAGCATGTTGTACAGGAATCTTCAGCGGGATTTTTAAAGGACTGTCTAGAAAAAGTCTGTATTCAAAGAAAACCTTTGAGGTAGGGTATTTCCAATATGAATATTTGGTATGAAGAATAATCTAATCTGAAGATTTAAATCACTTGATGTCAACACCCGTGTTTTAATTTCTGCCTTCTTCCAATTTAGATTTTGTGCTGAACGTCTATCTTCCCTGTTGCGTACCCTTGAAATTGCTGATTTGACTGATTTCTCACCCCTCACTCTCATAACCCATTTAGCAACATTAGTCTCAACATACACCAAGGGGTTTTCAATTATTGTTGAACCATTTGATGATAAGAACCCAACTGTGTCAAATCCAATCTTATACTTCAGGTAACACTGCCTTAGTAATAGGTAGTAGGTTTTATCAGTAATATTATATTTCACTGTCCTATTGACCAAAGATGCTGGTTTGGTGTACAAGATTGTGACTACTTAATTAATCTTTTGGAATGTGTTTTCTCAGTTGTTTGGACTCAAGTATTGCTATAAAACCAGTGTTCGAGCGCTTCCAAAGTGTTGTTATAACTTCGGGTACATTGTCTCCTCTAGACATGTATCCTAAAATCCTAGATTTCCATCCTGTAATAATGAGTTCCTTTACTATGACATTAGCAAGACCCTGTCTTCTTCCTATGGTAAGTCTTGAAACATCATGTAAATAGTAAATAGATAGTCAATGTAAATTATTTCTTTTTAAAAAAGTGTCCCCTTTGTAATAATTTTTTCTTTGCAGATTGTATCAAAAGGCAATGACCAAGTTGCTATATCATCTCGGTATGAAACAAGAGAAGATGTAGCTGTTGTAAGAAACTATGGCCAGCTACTTGTTGAAGTTGCGTCAGTTGTGCCCGATGGAGTTGTTTGCTTTTTCACATCATATCTATATTTAGAATCTGTGGTGGCCTCTTGGTATGATCAAGGTGTTATATCAAATCTTCAGCGACATAAATTGCTTTTCATCGAAACACAAGATTCTGCTGAAACCAGTTTGGCATTATTAAATTATATCAAGGTGCAGCTTTTCTCAGTTCCTTCTTTTGTTTTTCCTTTTTCTAACTTGCCTGTTTAATGTTGGAGTGTCATATCTATCACTAGGCTTGCGACACAGGAAGGGGAGCAGTTTTACTGTCTGTAGCCAGGGGAAAGGTGTCCGAAGGAGTTGATTTCGACCACCATTTAGGTCGGGCCGTACTTATGTTTGGTATCCCCTATGTATATACCCAGTCCCGAATCTTACGGGCCCGGTTGGAGTACCTAAGAGACCAGTTCCAGGTGAGTTTACTGGGTGCCTCCTCCTAAAAAAATTGTTGTGCATGTCTTTTTTATCTCCATAGTCTTTCTTCTACCCTCACAGATCAGAGAAAATGATTTTCTAACATTTGATGCCATGAGACATGCCGCTCAGTGTATTGGCCGAGTATTGAGAGGAAAGACAGATTATGGAATTATGATTTTTGCTGATAAGGTACAGGTCTCTTTGTCTTTATTACTGGGATTCATTTCTCCAGGTGATTTTAATTTGAAATCATTTTGTTTCCAGAGGTTTTCACGCTCTGATAAGCGAAGCAAAATTCCCAAGTGGATTCAAGAATACTTGTCCGATAATCTTTGCAATTTATCTACTGAAGAATGTATTCAGGTATGCTTTTTGATTGTGTGGTTGGTAGTTATGCTAGTTTCCTAGTTAAGTATATTTGCATTTTTTACTTTGACAGTTAATGCAATGCTCTTTTTGATTTCTAGATGTGCAAAAGATTTCTACGGAAGATGGCTCAACCTTTCACCCAGGAAGATCAAATGGGCGTATCACTGTTGACATTAGAACAACTTGAAAATGAAGAATGGATGAAAAAAGCTGAGCAAAAGGCGCATGCCCAAATCTAAATTTATAAAAGCAGTCCGTTTGTTGTACAGTATCTGTTGTTTTGTCTTTCACCTAAATTTGTCCACAATTCAAGGAATGGAGAGTAAAAAATCACTGTCTACAAATTAGTCTACATATTGTCTTTTTATTCTCACTTAAAATCACTGTGGGACTTGCCCTAGGCAGGTTTTTCCTCAATTGACATGAGTTGACATGAGTATTTTAGCACAGTAACAATGTCTGATCAACAAAGCAATCTTCCTAAAATGTGAATGATATGAGTCAAAGAATAACTTGTAGATTGGAAGATAATGCTGACAAATAAAAACACTCAGCAATATAAGAATTGACATGGAATTGAGCTTTTGGAAAATAAACTCTGAATCTCTACTAGTCACAGCCTAATCTAAGTTTTCAAGCTCAAAATATTTAATTGTTAAAGCACATGTATCCCTTGCTACCAAAAAAATAAAACTAAAAAACACCAAAACTTTGCTGTTAAAAATTGCCGCTGATATTCACAGGCAACAGTGATATGAGAAAATTCATCATATTATTGGCACAGTCTACAAATCATATCTAAAAATTCTTGGTTATATCAAAGACACTAATCAAGGAAATAAAATTGACATACAGTCTATATAATAGAACACTGATAGGTGTGATATTCATAACAAAACGATTTTTAAACAACAACTTCTTTTTCTTAAACTAAAACAATTCTTATGGTATATTTTTTAAATAGTAAAGAATGCGTTCTTCTGATTTTATATGTCTCATCTTAGATATATTTTAGTATCAATTAATCATCTAAAATGTCCAAAAACGCTCTCGGAACACGTCCTTTGAGAATACCCTTTTCTCCTAGGTAGTAGTCGGTGTTACCGTCTCCAGGATCTCTGACATTAATGATCTGTGGCACGTAGAATAGAGACATTGAAGATATTAAAGAGTTTTTTGTTGATGAAATCTCGTATAAGTTAAGTTATTTGTTCATTGAAATTTACCTCATCAGAAGTGAGATTAAGCTCGTCCGAATCTCGAGCATCATAATCGCAAAGAACACGTGCCCGACGACCAAATCGTGGTGATGATCGTCCACTTGAAACAAAGTTACCTGAGAGAGTTGTTGCAGAAGTGGTGGAGGGGCCTCCGGTGGAGAGAGGCAGACCCATGCTGCAACGGAGTTCCAGAAAGAAGTGCATGAAATTTTTCAACAGAAAACAAAAGCAAAGTAAATGATTGTATGAGGTCAAATAGAAAAGAGCAAATCTGATTTGGTTGATTTTAATTAGAAACATGCCCACAGCTAGCTACATACTAATATTAAAACAAACACTTGACATGTTCATTGAGAAAGCCATGTTTGAAGCGGCAACAAACAAATGCCTACCTTGTCATCTAGAATGAAATGTGTGCAAAGCAGAGGGTTGGATGCAGCAGTGCTAATGCAATTTGCATGTTTAAACTTTTTGTTACTACACTTTTAGTCTTAAAGCAGCTGTCTTTGATTTATGAAGATGGGAAAATAACACAAAGCTGAAGATGGTCTATCATATTCAAAAGCCCAAAGCATATCATTAACATGCATGCTTGACTGAAAAGAAAAACATGTTAGAACCATAGTATTTGAAGCCTTAAGATCTTAAGAAATGTGTATGATTAATAATAAACTGTGATAGTAATTGAAAACAATCATTTTCCTTTGTGACGACTTGTCCTCACTTGTATTACGATGCTGAAGTACACTTGACCTTATTACTGACAGTACATAATTGTACAGTGATCACGTATCAGAGCTCTCTGCACTCTGGTCTAATATTCTTCCCCAGAAGTGTTTTAAAAATACAAACAGATGTTTAAGGAATCTGAACATGAAAATAGGTGATAGTCAAATAAATAAGGAACAGATGATACTTCACAACAGATACTGTTTAATATGTCAACCAGAATCGTAAACAAGCCCTTAAGCTGAAAGGAAAGCTCCATTATAAATGTATTGTCCAAAACTAGAATATAGAACACTTTATAATTTTTTAAATAGGAATGTGGACACATTCACTAACTGCACAATAATGTCAAAAAGCTATGCCCCTTTTGAAACAAATGGAAGTTCAACGGAAGCTATGGGGAGAACACGACAAAAATCTGACCAATTCTGCACAAAGGCAAGAGGCATAAGGAACAATAAAATAAATTTTCAAGATGAAATTAATTACTGATGTTTTTTAAAATGTTCGTATACAGATGATCCAATAAAAAGGACAAAGAGATCATTATTCATCATTTGACATCAGAATGGAGCACTATTTCATGACACCTTACACAGATCATTTCTTCACGACAACTTCCTCATCACATAAAATCAAGTAAATTACCTACTGTATTGCTGTGAGTATATATTTGAAGTTTCTTTGGTTTCAACCTTCCGATATACCAAAATCAACAAAATAAAGAGGAGATTTCTTATTGCAGGGATTCAAAAGTATGTTAATCAGAATTAACATGTAAATGGCTGGAATGTTACCAAGTTGTACAGAAAACTACATCATCCCTGATAGACATGAATCCCAATACTACTGCCAAAAAATGGGCATTCAAAGAAAATAGCTTCTGAAACAAATAAAACAACCTCTTCATTGGAATGTTTTATGGAGAAAGAATGTGATATGCATACAATTGAACATTCTGAGCACAATGTAGGCATGTTTTAGTGTTTCTTGTTCGAAAGAAAAAATGTAAATTAAAACAAAACTATGGGTAAACTTTGGTTAGAGTTTGCTACACAATCTATTCTCCGGAATGCATAAGAGTTAAAGGGTCTAAGACAAAATCCTTTCAGATTCATTCCTGTCCAATTTTTGCCCACAAGATTAGTTACGGTAGATTTTAAAAAGTTTGATCGCATTGCAACATTGATACAATAGCCCTTTGACAGATAGCGGGAAACTCCAAATTATTCTAATAGATACAGTTATTGACATTGGTTATTGCTCTATACTAAATAAATAAAATCCTAATTGCTCAATTGAGGTTTATTAACCAATTTTCCAAAAAAATATGGCACCTATCAACTGTAACAATTTCACTTGAAAAGAAAAATTATCACAACAATTTGAAAAATGACGAATTGGCTACTATCTAGACCTAAAACTATTGAGAAACACGTTAGTTGAGTACAAATATATGTAACTTTTAAAAATATGCATGATTATGTCTAACAAATACACTCAGCTTAAATTTCAATACAATATCAAAGATTGACTTGAATGAAAGGCATTTTTTTTCTAGAGTCCACCACAGAACTAAATGACTCATCTGGCTTGCATTTCTTTGATTTCCAGAAATCAAAATCATAACACTCACACCTGCTTCATAGGCCCGGCCTGGGGCCAAGCAGGTGTAAATAAATGGCCGCAGGTTGAATGAACGGACATGTTCAAATAAAGATTGAGCTATTCTGCGTGTAGAAATTAAAATCTTGATTCAACTAAATTAATTGTTTGGCTATGAAGTACCCTTGCAAGTGAATAAAGTTAATATTGCAGAAGAATTTTCAAATCAAACTTAACAATAAAAATGGTACAAAAAATGAGAGAGAATAATGTATAACATCACAATGTTGTGAGCCCCTCACTACATTGTGTATAACATAAAAGCTACAGCCATAACATCTAGAATATAAAGCTTAACAACAAACCCTGGTATGAAACAAGCACCTTCATGAGCCCACCAAGGCACTTCTGGGGCAAAAGTCTTGTACATCATTGTTCAATAAAATTTGAAGAATTTAACAGAAATATTTTTTACCGTAAAATAAATTTGCACTTGGAATGAATGATTATAGTTATCATATCAATCCAAGTACTGATTAACAGTAAACAAAATAAAGGCACTGGCTTTGCGAGCATGAAGGAAGCAATTATCAAGAGAAGAACAAGAAGATGTCAAAATGTTACAATTGCAAGAAAGAAAAGCATGTATGTTTGAATACTGCTGAACCACATCCAGGGACAGTCCCACAAAGACCTATTGTAGTGCATACCCACATACAGGTTATGCAAAGAAAGGGATTCAGTGTACAGTACACGAGAAAGGCTGCAAGGGAATGGTAAAGAAATACTGAAGAGAAAAAGAAAATTCAGAAATCTAGCTTCTAAGAGAGTTAAGTTTAAATTCATGAGAGTTCAAAGAGGAGACAAAAGTAAAGATTAGATTAAGAGGACTCTTGCAAATCTCATAGAATTCACTGGGAGTGGAGCATCAGTTTGGTGGTGAGTTAGTGCTATTGTTCTCCGGAGGTACAAGTTCCACTTCTTCACTGTTGATACGCAACATGGGACTTGGTTTTCTATCACTGTAACAATACCATCACCAGTGCGATAAAAATGCAGTTCCTCTCGGCCAAAGAAAGTTTCATGTTCATATACAGAAATAGAATCCAATGAGCAATAATATTCTATTGTGTAAGACTAATGAAAAATATGTAGACCCAGCTCCGCTACATAGAACTCAAAAGAACACTGTAATATGAATTTATGCTTTGAAATATAATGCTACAGAGTTCTGAGAGTTCTGAGAGAGATACATATTTTATAGATATATGATGATATATATAAGCAGTGGAGGAAGAAAATACTGTACTCAACTCAATACCACAGCAAAAAGCCAGTGCTCTAAACCTGACCAGAGGGTTACTTATAACCAAATCATGCATAATTAGTGTCTTAACAAATCACTATCAAATATGTTACGATTTATGTATTAATATCTGATGATTGATCAATTACATCTTTAAATAAAATAACAGTGACACAATCATACACTTCCCTGCTTTAAATAAGAGAAGTAGGAGATAAAGGTTGAGAACAATACTTCCAAAAATGAAACTGTGTCTCACTGTGTAAAAAGCCACATGTCTTCATTATTTAAAATAGTTAACAACTAACTATAGTTGATGTCTATGCAACTACCAGCAAAGGAATGAAATGCCTCATTAACTATAATGGCAAGCAAGGCAACACTTTTGTACTATGCCCAAACTTAGGAATGAATTTAACATCATTCCAAATTTTAAATCTGAGCAAAATAAAAAATGGGAAATTTTGCATATAATATTTATGGCAAGATACACCACACTGTAATGTTACAAGCTACTCTACCAAGACTAATTTATGATATCCTCCACACAAAAAGGTGTATTGTATGTTTTGATGGCTAAATTAATTACACAAAACATAGAAGGGAATAAGAAGGTTTATGATATCATAAAGGGTCAATGCCAGGTTCACTAAGATAATAACAAGTGCCCATGTCTAAATTGAGTGGTAGTTGATATCTACAAGTAGAACTCACCTGGCAAGATCACGCTGGAGTTCTTGCATCAATTGGTGGCACTGCGCATGGTACCTCACTTGTGATTCAACAAACTCATGTAAACATCTCAGGTGAGATGCATGGGAGCTGCTAATACCTTCGAGGAGCAGCTTTGTTATTTCAGCTTGGCGGTCAAACTCAGCTTGGGCAACCCGCAAATCTTGTTCAGCCTGCAAATTGAAATAATTATTAGAAAAGTCCGCTGAAACAATAATGATGTCATTCAGCAATTATGACTACAAAGAATAAGTGCAAGTGTCCTCCTAGGTCAAAAAATTTGACCAAGCACTACACAAAAGTATGTCGAAAGTACTTTCAATTCAAGTTTGTCTGCATACACAGTTTGGATTATTAAAAATAGACACGAGTAAATGCTTAAGACTACATTTATAGCATACGTAGTTATATCTTTCGAAAGCATAGGGCTTTAAGTAAATACCACTTGCAGGACTTTAAACACCCAATACAAAAGAAAAAATGGCACACAATGCCTCATTAGTTTAACAATGTCAGCACTTAAAAGAAAAACAAGACAAAACAAGAAAAAAAAAAAACAAGACAAAGCTTTTACTGGTAATCAAATAATATGAAATTTCATTTGGTAAGAAAGATTACAACATGCAATCACATGCAAATTGTACATATGTAAGCAGCTTAAAATTCATTCCCAAACTACATTTGTTTCGCTAAGTACGGATGTGATGTGATGCCAGCTCTAAATGACTACCAGCAACTTATTCAGGAAAGATAACTGTTTTACCTGTCTTAGAACTATCTCAGGGCTAGGACCCTCCTTCTGCATGTGCACAACAAAAGATTAAGTTAAAGACAAATTACATAGCAGCTTAAACATTTTCTTTAGAAATCAATATTAAGTTATTCAGAGAGAATAAACTGAAAGGATGGTGTGACAAACATCATGAAATAGTTCTGTCATCAAGAGACTTGAGCAATTTCTCTTTTACTTTCTTCTTTTTCTTTAAAATTTGGATCGGCAGCAAAGTTTACTGTTTTGTCTAGGAACAACTCACGTTTTGGGTACCCAGCATGCTTCTAGCCTTACGGACACGGTTCTTGCAGGCATCAAGGTCCAAACTACAAGTAAAAAATGTAGAAAGATAATTACACACACATAAAAATTGTTTTTCATTTAGTAAATCAATAATGTTTTTAAAAAGTTGATGATTCAAATTTACCGTTTTGTTTCAAGAAGGCCTCTTTCTCGCACAATAGTTTTCATTTCACCTTCCAAAAATTTACGAAAAGGTGCCACAATGGAATGGTTGGCAGATGCAATAAAATCCCTTTCCGTTGTTCCAAGTTTTTGCTCACACTGCCCAACTTTAAGCAATGCACTCCCTAAGAAGCGAAACATGAGAAAAACAATGAAAATACTGGCCAGCAAAAACCCTCAATAAATAAGTACTTAATAAATTTCATATAAAATGAAAGGTTTCATAGGGAACAGAAAATAATACCATATGCAGTGCCTGGCCCAAACTCATTGCCAGCATCAATCATATCTAGACCAAGGTACTCAAGGTTGCTCAAACGATTCGGTCGTTTCTTTTCAATTTTGTCAAAGAGGAAGTCCTCCACACGTTTGCCTACAAATATAGCAACAAATAAAATTTTAGGGATCATAAAAAATGAAACAGATATTCAGTGAAATTGCAGAGAAAGGTAAAGGTACTAACCCGGATTTGGTGTAAGCACTGCCTCTGTATCAGAGAGGAGTTTTTCAGTCCATAACTTGGTAGCATCAGAACGCTCTGCTAAATTTTCAAAGTGAGCATCAAGTTCAGTTCTCTCAGAGGTTCCTAGCTTTTCTTCAGTCAGCTGAAACAAAATTTTAGAAACTTATGAAGCATTGATTATCATAGGTAATGAACATGCTCAATTTGGATCTCCCTGCAAAGATTTATTTTTATTACTGTGACAGTGGACATAGCATTAGGGTATTGATCAGACAATTAGAATATAGGTTTCCAAACTTTAACATAATTTTACCTACACTTAAATACGGTAAAATCCTAAGGATTTTTATTTATTTGTTTAAAAGGTATTGATTTGTCAGCTGATAGATCTTGTTTTCTTAGGTTAAATTAAACGACTTCCTAGAAAATAAAACAGCAAATAAATTAATTCTAGCATTACCTGTACCACTCGGCTCAACGCTGACCCCGCGTCACGAGCAAATTTTTTCAAGTTAAACGAGTCCATTTTTCAAAGTATTCCTGTAAATGTCGAACCTCACGTTTGTTGTGAGAGATCAATGGAAAACAAAACAATCTTCCTGTTCATGTGACGTCATACTCTCATCCTCACTTCACTCACCCCACCCCCTTCACCTCTTCACCACTGACTTATAAGCGACCGCCATCGACCTGTCGACACGGTCGACACCTATCACTAACAAGATATGTTTTTTTAGATTGAGAAAAAGTATTTTCGTCACTTTTAACTATTTTAACTCGATATGTCAGAGATGTTTTAAATGTATGCGACGTTTTCGGGTTTTCACCTTCGTCTGCAGGTCTGCAGCATTTATTTGAACGCACCCTTGCTCGATCCCCTCTTCTCATGTGACTTTCAGTCAGCTGTCGTGCAGGTGTTATCAGTCATAAGTTTACAGAATTAATACATATTCTTGACATCTGCCTTTGACTTTTTCGTTACAATGGGTGCTTCCCTAATTCCTGTAATTATTTTCACATTGTTGTGGGGTGTTGTTGGCATTGTTTTGCCTTTCATTGTTCCCAAAGGACCCAATCGAGGGTAAGTGGCTTTCTGCTCTGACTTTACAATGTTTATATTTCCAATTATTTTTGTAATTGTACGTATTTTGATACTGGAAGACTCTATTGCTCTACAGTTGGTTTTAGTCTTTCACTCGCCGTACCGTCGCATTACTGTGTTTTGGATATTTCACTGTACCAGCCTAACCTATTTTCAGATTGTGGAAACTTTGTTAACAACTATCTATTTATAATTTATATTGTATTTTTTTTTAAATCATAGGCGTATTTATTTTACCTATCTTCACGTCTCCCACTTTCTATGTCAATAGAGCAATCTATGTCATACCATTGATCTAATTCCTGAATTTGTTGCGGTCTATTATTTTCCCTTCGTAAAATATTCTTCTATTTGCAGTATCTTCCAGTTGGTTCTCATATTAACAGCTTCAACATGTTGGCTATTGTAAGTTCAATTTCCTTTAGCATCTTCTTGTACTTGGTTTTGTCACATTTCTCTCTAATGTAAAACAATGTGTTTTTAGTTGGTTGTGCTGTTACATGGCACAAATGAATCCTCTAATTGGACCAAAGCTGTCGAACAGGACTCTTCTTCTAATGTCAAGAGCATGGGTAAGTTCTCTGTTTGCTAAGCAACGTGTGAAATCCGTTGTGTATTTTTTTCCTTCTATATTGAATGATTGTGTAACATGAATTCATGGAATGTTTTCAGGATGGCAAGGTTCCTACTTAAATATCTGCAAGCTTTCTACAAAATTATCATGAACAAACCATCAACTGTTCTTAATCAGCTTTGTTGATATTTTTATGTTTCTCTGGGAAATTATGGTTGTTAAAACATTCCATCATAGCTCAAATGGGTAGAGACTTTCGTCAACACTCCCTACCACTGTAAAATGAAGTATCAATAGTTCAGTATTTGCTTAAGCTGGTTGTAATGGTCAGGAAGCAAGGTTACCCAAGTATATTTCATGAACTTTTTTTCTTTGTACTGTATATAGTCCTTCTTGTGTATGATTGTATATTTATCGGAATTTAAAGAAATCGAATGTGTGTTGTTCTAGATGTATGGTTTTATGTGCATTTGAAATTTTGCTTGGAGTTTCAGAATTTGGTGATGTCTGCCAGTGAAGTAAGTGTTTAGTTCTTGATGATAGAGAATCAATTCAATGTACTTACCATTACAGAAAAATTCTATTAATTCGGCTAGTGTGCAATGTAATATATCACTAAAATTTCAAGTTAAATTTGTTCGTAAATTAGAATTTTCTGGATCTATTTAATTGCTTTTGACCACAAATAAAATCAATCAATAACGGAATATTTCTTGTTACACTTAACTCTGTGCCTGTGCCGTTCCACGCTGCTGCATTCTGAGCGCAGGACCGATAAGTTCGACGCTAGATTCGATTCGGTCAGATCATTTAGTTCGGTTTTCCCTCCTTTAGGGATTGACCGAGTTTGGTGTTTGTAGGGGCCCCGGCAGAAAAGAAGCAGTCGCCAAAAAGACGCCTTGTAGGGCGCGTTTTGATCAAAACACGCCCTTCAAAACGTGTTTTTTTTTTCTTTTTTTTTTTTTTTTTCAAGCGCCCCAAGTGTTTTGATCGGTCCAGAGGCGGTTTTGAAAATGAGCCAATTGTGCGGTCAGTAGGCGCTACTTCTGCCGGGGGAAGCACCAGCACCAGACTGTAAAGTCCGCCAGGGCGGGGGGCGGGAGCGCCCGAGCCCGGGCGGCGCAACACAGCGCGGGGTATTCGCGCGGCCAGGCCAGGCCAGGCGTATGGTCCCATGGTTCCCATGGTCACTCGCGTCAGGGCGGCGGGGAGTACGTCCGGAGCGGAGCGCCGCCGAGTCTGGCTCTAGTCGTGTCGCGGCCGTCGGCCGTCCCGTCGCGCTGCCCAGCACTATCGACCCGTCGGGCCGGGCCGGATCCGGGGCGAGGACTTCCCTCTCGCTCGCACCCTCGGCGACCCGCGCACGGCGCGAGCGGGGTGGCGGCGCGGGCTCGTTCGCGCGCGGCCGCCAGGCGGTTGGCGGCGGGGCCCCCGGGGGGTGGGGCCGGGGCCCCCCGCAACCCCCGGCGCGTTGTGCGACGCACTTGCGGGGCGGGGCGGCGGCGCCGAGCATCTCCTTTCCCGCGCGCGTCCTTGTGTGCGGAGCAGCGGAGCTGGCGGAGTTGTTGTGTGCAGCCAGCGCAGCCTGCAGCAGGCGCGCCAGCAGGCGCAGAGTCCCAGGGAGGCCCCCGCCTGCACTGACCCGCGGGCCCTGCGGGTCCCGCGGCCGTCTGCGAGGCCCCAGGCTTTGGGTGTCGCCACCCTCGCCAGGACCACCCCTGGCAGGCACCCTAACCTCTCGTCGCGCCTCGGCTGAAAGGAAACAGGTGAGTGGAGTGGCGGGGTTCGCCGTGCCCTGCCCTGCTGGCTGCAGCCGCACCGGTGAGGGCGCGGCGAAGGAACTCACGTGTGCGGAAAATGCTCGAAATTGAGATTGGTGTAATGAATGATGAGTTTAAAACAAATAAATCGCGGGGTTGGTGTGATGTAACGAATGGTCGTATGGTACCCCTTTGACATTTATCCTTCTCTTTTTTGTCAACATAATCGCTGATTGAGATATCACGCTCTCGCAAATATAGTCGATCGATGTGACCACATACCCCCTCCTCTTTTCTATCTGATGGAAAGTGGGGGGGGGGGAGAGAACATTTTACCCCCAAATTTGCCCCATTCAAAACGACTCGTGCTTGGCAGGTAGCGCCATGCCAGCTCCGTGCAGCTGCAGGACCTCGGACGAGGACGAGGATAGCAAATGGTTCCCGGAGGTGGACCGCGGCTGCTGCTGCTCGCTGCAAGTGTGCTGCAAGATCCAGGCCATCTTCGTTGTGGTAAGAAGCGAGAGCTGGCGTGCTTAATTGTCCCAGACGTGCGCGGTTGTTGTTGTTGATGAGTATGCGTCACGGTGCGTAATGCGCATTTGTCATTGTTTCTCTTTCCCAGGCGTCGTCCATGCTGTACACACCGATGGTGCTGGTGGAGTACTTCCAGCCCCGCCCTGACCCCTTGACCGATGTCCGCCCTCGTCCTTGTCGACAGTCGGAGGCAGCAGGTACCTACCCTCTCTCTCTTTCTCTATTGCGTTCCAGCCACTCGCTCGCACAAGTACACTACCTAGTGGAGCGCGATTGACAAAACTATGTCAAAATTACCTCATTTTGACGCGCAACGCCAAAATTTACTGCGGTTGGGTACCAGCTGGGTTGAGCTCATTTTGAGATCAAACGAGGGTCATTGACAGGGTTTTGACGATTGTGTTCCTCCTTGCCCGGCAGGCTTCAGCGGCATGTGCGGCTTTGATCTGGACACGCCACCGTCCCACCCTCGCGGCAGCTTCCCCGAGCCGGGCCAGCACCAGGCCAGGGCGGCCGAGATCGTCCTCAAGATCCTCCTGCAGTTCATCGCCTTCCTCTCAGCGCTCGTGTTCCTCGTGGGCATCAAGCGGGTAAGCCGTCGTCTCACTTTTATGGGAAATGTGTTCCCGTGGGACAAACTTAACCCAAAACTAAACTTATGTTAAGTCTTATCAATCCTTAAGTCTATTTTGGCGCCGTGACCCTGACGTAACCTAACCTGTGTGCGACCCTTGACCCCACAGAGGCGCCCCAAGCTGCTGCTGCCGTACGTGCGGGTGCTGGCTGTGCACGTCACCTTCAGCCTCATGGCGCTGCTGGTCAAGGCGTGCGTCTACGGCATGTGGCTGGAGGCCGTGGTCATCATCCTGCCCCTGGGTGTCGGTGAGCAGCGCTGGCAGCAAACAGCCGCGGTGAGCCGGGACAGGGTGGTGAGCCTGACGCTGCTTTTGTCTTGTCGCAGGCCTGCCGTACTACATGTGGCTGTGCGCCTACAGCCTGTACCGCAAGATGAAGCGCGCCGTGGCCGCGGAGGAGGCCGCCGCCGTCACCCTCGCCGGGGACGCCGAGGCCGCGGCCGCTCCCGTGTATGCCGCGCCGGCCGGCTTCGTCGTGCCCCCGGGCTGGGGCTGGGCGCCGCCCGCGCGCGCCGGCGGGCCCGCCACCCTCGTGGCCGTGGCCCCGGGGCCCTCGGTGCCGTCGGGGCTGCCGGGCCCGGGCCCGGCCTGCCACCAGGACCTGGCCCCGGCCTACGACCGCCCGCCCTCCTCCAAGCCCGACGACTCGCCGCCGCCGCCGTACGAGTCCGTGGTGGCCATGGGCGCCAAGGTCCCCTCGCCCGTCTGAGTGCCCGCCTGCGGACGCTGACGTAGGCCGACCCGCCACGCACAGCTGCTAGGCGGGCGGTCGGCGCTCACCGGGCGCTGTGCCACCAACGCCGCACTCACAAGCGCACAATTCATGGCAAACGTCATCTTTTAACCGCGCTGAGAACGTAAGGGCTTGTCCACTAAAGCTACTTTTCAGACCCTGTTTCCGCCCAATGTTCACCACCGTATTGAAATCCCCCAGACTGGCATCCTTACAGATTTGATGGCACGGACTATGGGGACCGACTCACACCATACTGAATTGCATGCCTCTTTTGTGTTCACCATCTTGTCTTGCGTTTCACTAAACATACCTCCGGTTACGTTTACCCGCGTTTATTCCACATTCCCGTGCACATTTTTGACACTTTTACGAACGAGACGTGTGGACGAGACGCGGCAAAGCAGCCAAAATCTGAAAACAATGGCTGGAACGTACCTGGATTTTAAAATGTCCTTCGTATATTCATTTAAACCATTAATTAGTTCACGTGTTTACCAGAAGACTTCAAACGGATTTTTTTAATCCGAGTTTCGGTCAATAAGTAGGGTTGTGCTGCATCACTCGAAGCAGAAGGCTGTGTATTATTTGTCAGAGTTAAAAAGGGTAAAAAAATAAAAAGTATTATAAATTTGACGGTATACTTTCTCTACAAATCCCGCATTTTTTCATACTCGTGAATTTGTGAAATGTAGAAATGCCACCATCTAATACAATTGGAGCAGCCGTCTCTATTCCACGGCCTACTAATTGGT